ATGGGCCCCAGACTATCTCTGTCCACACTCAAGTCCTCTGCTCTCTACCCTTCCAGGACCAGCCCTCCCCCACGACCTCTGCTCTGAGAGATCCTAAAGTCCATTCCTGGAAGCCTCGCCTTCCACGACCGCTCTCCTCCTTCCATACCCCAGCCCATACATCCTCACCTGCAGGATACCCACACTTTCTCCTCCCACCTAGAGGTTTCTAGGGCTGTGAAGTTAAGAGGCCAGAGTGGACCACCATCTTCATAGCATGTCTCTACCTGGTTCGGACCCCTGAACCCAGAGCCAAAAATGGGCTGACTGCTCCAAAACCCAGGAGCTCAAGAAGCACTCCCTTGGACGGCTAAGCCCCCATAGCCCTCACAGCATACTGCCTCAGGGTCCTTCCTTACCCAGGGAGACCAGGATCCCATAGTTCTCCTGCATTACTTCCCGGTAGAGGTCCCTTTGGTCCACATCCAGCCTCTCCCACTCCTCCAAAGAGAAGTACACAGCCACATCTTCAAAAGTCACCAGCCCCTGAAGAACACAGAGCCCCAGGAGAAAAGCTGAGGGGACGCCCTGCCTCCAATACCCATGCCAGATGAGGTTAGAACATATAGTGGGCACACAGCCTAGCACCCCATTATTGATGGGTCCACAGGTGCCCAGACGATACTGCTGTCTCTCAGGCCTCTCGACCTGTGACAGGGACCCATCTCTTATCCATCAAACTCAGAGAGGGCAGAAGCCCTAGCAACTATGGCCCCTCCGATGTCTCACAGACCAGTCCCAGCAATACCTTGGCCACATCAACAACAGGCTGGCGATGGACAGCTGGTACCAACTAAACTGAGTGTGGGTACTGATGTCTGACCCAAAAGCAGAAAAACAGACCCTAGGCAGGGGACAGTCATCCTAGAAGACTCCAACTTGACTTGGGGGTAGGACGGGGGCAGCCATGCCCAGGAACAGTTGAGTGGGAGGTAACCCGAGTACTCAGAACAACATAATGGCCTGGGAAGGGACAGAGACCTGGGAAAACAGAACCACATAAACCCTGGGCCTGGGAGCTAGAGCCACAACACAAAGAGGGCCCAAGACCACAGCTGACCAGTGTATATGCGGAGGGCAGCTCACCTGCGTCAGGAAATGCTCGTCATCTTCCTCTTCCTCCTCTTCCTCCGGGTCTTCGTCCTGAATAGTAGGAGACACTCGGGAGGCCTGCAGGGCTGAGAGGAAGATCGCTTAGGGCCAGTGGTACCTGGCTGGCAAGCAGGATGGGGCTCCCGGCTACTCCCATACTTCAGACCCAGGTCCAGTCTCAGCTCCATGATCCCCCAGCCTACTCCTTCCCCCAGCAGCAGTGGGGTCCTGGTCCTTACCTTCTCCTCGAAGAGCTGGCGACTTCACATCACCACCATTGCTAAGCTGCTCCTGGGTCCCCAAGCTCAGACTCTGCTCCTCTGCCAGCACCTCCTCCACACTGTTGGCATCGGCATCGGCATCGGCATTGGCACTGTCCTCTGAGCTGGCCTCCACCTCCACCTCCTGTACCTGTGTGGCCACTTCCTCCTCTTCCACCACTACCTCTTCTGCCTGTTCCCCCTCTGCCTCCTCTCTCCCCTTCTCATCCTCATCCTCCTCTTCAGGGTCTGCATCGCATTCTGACCCATCTTCAGCAGGCTCCAGGTGGGTAGCTGGGGATTCTGGAGTAGTTTGAAGGGCGGCCATCGTCCCTAGGAGAGAGCCTCCGTGTGGCCTGAAACACAGAGGCACTTCACAGGGGAGGCCACAAGGGCTGAGGGAGGACCACGTTCTGTCTGTTATCTCAGGCTGTGCAACTGACAGGTGGTTTACCCAGAGACACCCCCCCCCAAAGGGCTCCTCCCCACAATCCTCTGGGACATAGCTGCTGCTCTCTCACCAGCAGCCTTGTGTCTAGTGTGAGCAGCGACCTGTTCGTGGGTAAGTCACCCATCATCCCAACCCATCGATCCTCAAGGACCAGGAGAAGCATGGAGTGCAGCCAACAGAGCCCCAGCGATCCATGTTTACTGATGGGTGACCGTAACCTACAAGGGGTAGCCTGTCCCACACAGAAAGCCAACACAAGCAGCTTACCCTGCCCTCAGCACACATGAGCCAGTTCAGGCCCACACACGGTCAGATCACTGGCACCTACGCGGCTGTAGGTGGCTGGGTGTGGCACAGGGCTGGAAAAGTATCTTTGTTTCGTCTCTTCGGGGAAAGGAGAGAGTGCCCATCAGTCAGTCAACAGCTCTCGGCCCCCTCCTGTGAGTCAAAGGAGAGACATGGCCATGAGCAGGCATCACTCTGCTACCTGTCTTTATCTGACTCCAGGGGTGTTGTGAAAAATCTCAGCCCGTCGGGGAGGCGGAGTCCAGCTCATCACTAGGCCAGCACAGGTGACTGACACACCTTTAAGTGCAAGGGCCAGAGACTAAGAACGGTTGAAATGTCAACACCTCAGAGGCTCACAGGGTCCTACTCCCCCAGCCATTCCACAGACTCAGTCCAGCTGTACCTGGCCTGGAGCCTAGAGCCACGGACTGAAGGGGATGGCATCAGGGATCCTACAGCCACTAACCTAGCCTATGACTACAAAGAACCAGCCCGGTGAATCTCGAGGGCTGGGCAGTTATGTTTTCTTTTTTATTATATTGTATTTATTTGTGGAGTAGAGGTGCATGTTGTGGCAAATGTGTGGAGGTTGGGGGGCAACTTGAAGGAGTCAGTTCTCTTTCCACCCCACTGGGTCTCCGGGATCAAACTCAGGCCATCAGGCTTGGCAGTGGGTGCCGTTAGCTGTGGTTTTCACCAATTCATTCCTATGACTCTTTCCGCCATCATGTCATTCAGTACCTGCGTTGGAAGTATCTCAAATCTGAATGGGAACATTTTCAAAAGCAGGGCAGGCCACCCCAGCATGCTGAATTCCAAAAAGATCCTGAAATGCCAGGCCACACCAGACACTGGAGCCACCTCAGTGGACAGCATTGCCCCAGGATGCTTAAAACCAGACTGTGGCAGGTAAAGATGCCCAGGGCCATGAGAACAGTCAGAACACTGTGCCTGGTATTCCCAGGGACACACCTGAGCACCCTGCTGGGGCCAGGCTCACCTAAATCCCATCACCTTTCTGTTCAGACGTCTGCTTTCAAACCTATGCTCTGGGGGCTGGAGAGCTGGCTCAGCAGTTAGAAGCACTGGCTGCTCTTCTAGAGGACCTGGGTTCAATTCCCAGAATCCACACGGTAGCTCAAAACCATCTGTAACTCCAGTTCCAAGGGATCCTAGGCCCTTTTGCTGACCTCTGTGGACACCAGACATACAGGTAGTATACAAGACATACAAGGAGGCAAAACACTTACACACGTAAAATTAAAAAAGGGTTTTAATTAAAATCTACACTTTGGTACTGGGGAGGTAGCTCAGTCTGTAATGTGCTTGCTTTGCATGAATGAGAACCCGAGTTTGCTCCCCTGAATGTAAAAGCTGGGCATGACAGTGCACACCTATGATCCCAGCACTGTGGTGGCGGGGACTGGAGGTTCCATGGGACTCACTGGCCAGCCAGTGTGGCCAACTCAGTGAGCTCCAGTGAAGGGCCCTGCCTCAAAAATCAAAAACAAAAAGTTGGACAGCAATTGAAGACACCTAGCATGACTTCTGGGCTCCACATATATTCATACACACCTGCACACACATAAACATGGACACACTCCACACACTACGAAAGTAAACAAATGAGCAGTCAAAAACAAAACAAAAAGAACCCCATTCTTTAGCAGCTAGAACTCTCTGAGCATCCCTGCCAGTGCCAACCTCCCAAATCCAAGGGCTGGGACTCCTGACATCCATAGTCCCCTCTGTTGTGACTGTCTGTCCGCCCCCCCCCCCCCAGCACTGTCTCAAACTAGATTCCGAAGCACGGCATCAAAGATTGAAGCCACAAAACTAGGTCTAAGAGAACTATCTGAGCCCTCCAGGGCTCTTTGGTGTTGGAAGATGCCTGAAGGGTAAACACAAACGCGCACGCACGCACGCACGCGCACGTGAGCGCACGCACGCACCTTGTGCTATCCTGGCTAGCGCTCAGGGTCACCGAGAACACTCAGGGAGAGATTTCCAACCACCACCCACCTCAGACCTACTAGAGAAGGACTTTGCTTACTCAGGCCTCAGGCTGTCGATTCAAGCTGAGCCCAGACACCCACAGAACTAACTCAGACTTCCTCAGGCCAGACTGTTGTCTGTAACGATCCAAGAAAAGAAGAAAGCTGGGGCTGGGGAGTCAATTCAGTTAGTCAAAGTGCTCGGCCACACAGGCAGCTGCGGGGAGGGCAGGGGGAAAAAAGGCTGAGTACAGCGCTGTCTATCTATAAACCCTGGGCAGTACTGGCCAGGAAACCAGAATTGGTAAGCCTCAGGTTCAGAGAGACACTGCCTCAAATAATATGGTGGAAAGTGACTATACCAACCTCTGTCATCCACATGCACACTTGTGTATAAGTGTGCACAGAAGCACACACAAAACTGTGTACATACACTAGACACAAAGAGGAGAAGGAGGAGGTAGAGGAGCAGGAGGTGGTGGAGGAGGAGAGGAGGAGGCAGCCCATCTTGGCTACTTCTCTTCCCAGGCAGCATCCACATTTTCTTTACTGAAGAGTATTCAACAGAAGGATGATGAAGAGTCTACATTTTCTTCCCCCGGACCCCTATGCCAGACACACACTAGTCATTTCAGTACTTACTGAAGACATGGCCCGAAGATCTATAGTTAATGACATGGACATCGGTTTGTTTTCCGTTGTTGTTTTTTCAAATCGGTGTCAGGGCTCAACTGTCACACTCCACAACAGGCCAGCCACAGACTGAGGGAAGGGTACATCAAACTAAAATCCACCCCAGAAGCAGTGGAGAGCCTCTGCCTCCAAAGAGGACAGTGGGTAAAACCAAATCCATGCATCAGCCTGGTGATGGTTACTGTTGCACACTTGATAGGATCTCGAACCACAGAAGAGAGACCCATCTGGGATGTCTGTAAGGGAGTTTCCAGATTAGGTTCATCAGGATGGGAAGACCCTCTCTGAATGTGGGTGACACTATCCCCTGAGCTAGGGTCTTGGACTGAATAAAAAGGAGCCAGCAAGCTGAGCACCAGCATACATCACTCTGCTTCCTGATTGTGGATACAATATGACCAGCTGCCTCAAGTAATGGCCGCTGTGTCTTTCCCATCATGATGGTCTGTACCTTTAAACTGTGAGCCTAAGCAAAAGCTTCCTCACTTAGTTGCTTCTTGTTAGGCCAAAGCAAGGAGAAATAAACGACTAAAAGCCCCTAAGAGCCAGGTGGTGGTGGTACACACCTTTAATCCCAGCACTCGGGAGACAGGGCCAGGCAGATCTGTGAGTTCAAGGCCAGCCTGGTCTACAGAGCGAGATCCAAGACAGGCACCAAAACTACACAAAGAAACCCTGTCTTGAAAAACAAAACAAAACAAAAGCCTCTAAGGTTACCAAATGGTGGTGGTGGTGCACACTTTCAATCCCAGCACTTGGGAGGCAAGGGCAGGTGAATCTCTGTGAGTTTGAGGCCAGCCTGGTCTATAGAGCAAGTTCCAGGACAGCCAGGGCTACACAGAGAAACTCTGTTTCAAAAAACAAAAAACTACAACAACAAATCCTCCAAAGTTAGCAGTCCATGGGAAGAGAGGGCAGAAGCCAAGAAAAAGCCAATGCGCCAGGTGCCCTGACCCAGGGTTCAGAACCAAAGTTCTGAAAACCAGTCTGACCAGGGGTAGGTCAGTTCATAATTCTTACAACTCAGGCCCTAGGGGCGCCCCGCCTCCTTGGATATTTTCCCCCCAACACTCCCCCTCCCCTCCAGTCAATCAGTCACTAGAAAGCCTTTCTCCTCACTTCCCCTTGACCTCCCATCCTAGATCAGAATGCAGAGTCAAGTTCATGGCTTCATCATGCAAAAACACTCCAACCCTTAGGGCAATAGTGCTGCAGATACAGAATGGAGTGGGGGCCCTGTCCATAAAAAGGGGGTGTGCAAAGGCACATGGTAAAGTTTGAAAAGTTAGGAACTCCAGAAGTCCCAAATCCAGAGGAACCCACGTGAAGGCACATATTTGTGTGTTCGTGCACATGCGTGCACACTTTCTAGTGACCTTCATTCCTGCTCAGTGGCTCCCACTGACTTCAAGGCCCTTCAGGACTTTTTGTCCAGGATGTCTTTCCCTGTTCACTACAATCCTCACCATCTGCCGAGTTTCCGGAGCCCCTACTCTCCAGGGTTGCTCCCGGAAGCCATCCAAGACCCCCCAGATCAGGTTCCTAGCTAGCCCTCCAAGACCGGCCCTAGGGGCTACTGAACCAAAACAAAGTGCCGGTGCCACCCACTGAGGCTGAGCAGGTGAGCTGATCCTCGATGGTTCCTGCATCTCCTCTTTCCCTCCTTGTGTCCACATGAGGCACCCTAGATTCCAACAACCTGAGGGATGAGTTCCCCCACACATCAGGGGCAACAGACTTAGCAGACAGGAACCCAGTCAGCCTCCATTTGCAAACGAGACCAACTGGACCGCGGCCCCCCAATGTCACAAAGCCAGCTTTAGGGCTCCAACACAGGGTGCTTTCCTCCTCTCCCTCCCTCTAGAGCGGTTACCTAGGATCCATCTCATGCCTGGGCAGGAGTGGTGACAGCCCTCCTTGGAAGGTGTCTCCGGGGAGTGGGGGCGGTCCCCGCCCAGCTCCCGCCCCTGAGCTGAAGGAGGCGGCGCTGGCACCTTCCAAAGGTGCAATGTATGTCGTCTCCGGCCCGCCCCCTCCCACGCTGGAGTCTATGACTCTGGGGCAGGGGGCGGGGGGCGAGGGGCGGGGGGGAGTGTCAACCCATCCGTGACGTGACGCGCAGGCCCAGGCCAGTATTGGGGGACTTAGGGGCCTGGAAGATCCAGCTCGTGCAACTGCAGCTCCGACCCCTCCAAACACAGGCCGCGGAGCCCCGCGATCGCCCCACGATCATCCAAGGCCTCCAG